GTAGTGCATAGACCATATGTTATGTGACAACCTCAGTGAAGTCTGAAACAGTTCCCTGTAATGAAGCACTTTAATATTTTCACAGTGTAACATTCACAGTAAGTGGGATAAGTAAAGTCTATAAATCAGTCTTCATTGCTTTTTTGCTTGATGAGTTCCAAAAAAATCCAGTTTTCAGAAATTTTTGGATTTTGGAGTTGTCGCTAAGAAATGGTGGACTTGTATCACATTTAACATATAATAAAACCCTAAGTATACATTTTGTGTCTATTTTGACCTGATTTTTAGTGCTGTCTTATGCTACACACTGTGATACACTAAAGATTTTTGTTTTAACATACCTTTTAATATTAGTTTTACTGTTTCTTCTTTTTTCAAAAAAATCTCTTGGTCATTATTATTTTAGACGTATTATAGATTACTTTTTTCAAGCTCCAAACAAATTACACCAGAGAATTATAGATTAATTTGGGGGAAGCACAGCAGGCAGAGTTGAGCCATGTTGATGACCGAAAGAGTTTGCTCCCTGTGTCTGGGTACTGTCTATTGCACTTGCTCTTGAATAACTCTTAAAGGTCCATCCTCAAGTCTCAAGACCAACTTGAGAAATGTTGGTCTCTTGACACATTTCCTGAGTATATCTGGCTGGATACCCCTGAAGTGCTCTCATGGTTATTAATAATATCTATTAGCATCTTAAAGGCTCTTAGGAGCCATGCTATAAAGAAGCCCATTTATCTTCATTTAACCTACTGTTTAAGAAAATTACTTGACCACATAAATCCCTATTTCATAACACTGGGCAAGTAGTTTAGGGAACAGTCATTTAATGAAAAATAAAAGCACTTCGAATTGGAGGATTCTCATTCATCACTAGTCCATCATAGGTGTTTATTGAATGTCTGCTACCTACCTATTATGGTTGAATGTATTGGAGATATGAAAGAATTATAAGATATGCTCCATTACCATAGGGACAAACACCAGGAAAACTGAGACTGCTGAACTGCATTCTCAATAGAGTATTAGCCTTTGAAGGTACAAAGGCATCGAAGTGATATTTGTATCACCAGAACCAGTGCAGTGCGTTGATTATATTAACATTGGCATGCCGTAAATGTACTAGATAAAAGAGTGGAAGAAGCGGGGGGAGAGGCATTATCTGTAGCACAAGGCACTATATTTTGGTTCATAGAGGCCTATAGTGAGAGGACAAAACCAGAGTGGACTTCACAGATCGGACCGCAGGTTGGACCAAAGCTAGGCCACGTGAGAGTGATAGGGATGGATTCTTCTCTGTCACTGCAGGAAATAATAATCGGAAACACGCTTATTGGAGATGTAACGTGCATCACGCCTAGCCTGTCCCACATTCAGACAGTTTTCTATAAAGACAGTGGCCTCTCTGCCTTATCCTTTTTTTCCTCCAGAATCCTGACCACAGTTCTCAAAGAATTCTCTGATTCAGATAGCTACTTTAGTGGGTGAGAGAAAATATGGTGTATCGCTTTGTGTGAAGAAATGGAAAGTTCTAGTGTGGAAACGGAGCTGGACTGCTCTCACTGAAGTCACAGGGTAGGCAGACATAACCCGGAGGTGGCCTGCCACACGTGCTTGTCAACTGAATTCTCAACTTTATTTGGAGAATTCATAAAAAACTAAAATGGTTCCTTCGATACCCTTAATGGGCCTACTCAATTTTGTAGGTGCCAGCTTATCAATTTCTCCCCAAAATGTATAGTCGGACTGTTATTTCTCTCCCATGTCTTATAAATCCGTTTTTGCTTCTGTTTTTGGCTCGGTCTAACAACAGGCACTCTCATATGTATGTACACAATTTGTGTGCAACATGACTAAATGACATTGAGTTATTTTCCAACACTTCTTCCTGAGTTCTTGCCCATTGGATTGTGGGGGGAAATAACTGAATGTCCAATTCAGTGTAAACCTTAGTCTGATTTGATCATTTAAATAGTTCTTTTAGGTCATTCTTTCTCTGAGTTAGACCCTCCTGCACCCTGTTGATTTCCTTCAGGTGGTATATGGAAGAAGGGACTGTATGGCTTTCATATCCTCAAGGCACTGGGGAAAAGGACCCCTGGCCTCAAGAGGTCCTTTGAGGGCCCCTTGGAATGTATATATACATTGGCATGGCAGCTGCTGGCCACTGGAAGGATATCCCTTGGTCAGCTGGTTGCTGGATGCTCTTCTGGTCTGCAACTTGTGAACTTGTAGCCCATTCTTCTGGCTCAGGCTCTTTTTTTGGTTGTGTTTCTTGGATGGTCCATCCTAAACTTGACTTCCCCTGGTATTAGAGACCCCCACTCCCAGGTCTGAATGAGACACCCATTTGCCCTGGCTTGAGTGGCCTATGGTGCTACTCTCACTATAGAGCTATACTTCCCCCACTATGACAATAGTCTATAGCAGACTTCCCAGCCTAACACATATCTACTTCCAAGTGCTAAGACACACAGAAACCAAAGGTTGTTCAGGAAAGCTAAACCTCAGGCCTCCCACTGGGTGCCTATACCATGCCATCTTGTGGATGTAGCTCTGTCCTGGTGCTACAGGACAGCTTCCTTCCTGTGACCATATTGAGGGGAGGGGAGCAGAAGAACCCTCTGGCCCAAGGATTTGTTTCTACTTACCTGATACTTGTCTTCTTTCCCAAGCCACATGCTATAGAAGGGGGACTTAAGACAACTCTTCTGGCTATTTTATACCTGCTTCCCTTTCTGAGACTTCTTCCTGTATTTCCTCTAGGACAGAAGGAATTGATAAGCTTTTATTTTTTTCTCTACATTGTATCTTCCTCATTCCTGATTTTAGCAAAGGATTAATATCTCATGAGCTGAGTCTTCTAAGTTTAGCTGTTTATATGCTGAGAGGGGTAAAGAGTTTTCTTGAGAGGCAGATCATCTCTAAAGGCAACAAGACCATTGCCTTTAGTTTGCAAGGATATTGTTTTGTTGCACAATTTTATTGTACATGCCAGAAATGATATTATTGTGACAAATCCTAGGACCATCTAGGGTATTTAGGGTAGTTTTGTACTTGAAAAGGCCAAAAAGAAAAACATATTGATAAATTTTTAAACCATTACCCCTGTTACATTACCCATTATAATTCCTGAAGGACTTTAAACTTGGCATATTATTAGGACATTTGAGTTGGATACCTTGAGTTGCAAGAAATAGGGACAAATAGAGACTCCTTCAGATCTCCTTAAGTAATGGGCGTTTACTATGAGGACACACGTAACATATCTGATAGGGTTTATTGGTTGCAATTGATGGGATCTATCTCAGATAACTTAGGCAAAAAATAATTTAATAGGATGGCAGGTGGTAGCACATGGAATTTAAAGGAAGACTGAAGAAAGGGGCTGTAGAATAAAACAGAATAGCTCCAGACATCTGGATCTGATGAGAAGTCTCGTTAGGGTGCTGTTAATGGGACAGGTTCTCTCCAGCTACTGATATCTCTATGTGGTTCCCCTCTTGACTCTATCTCTTAAAGAGAGAAGCTGATTGGTGTGGGAGGTCAGAGGTCCACCCCTTGGCCAGGGTAGCACAGTCCCTAAAACTGCATGCAATAGTAGAAGAAATGGAGTAGAGAGTCAGTTTGAGATGACAAGCTGAGTTCAGTTTAGGGCATGTGGCGATACCAGTTGTGACAGAATATCTAGGTGGAAAGTTTATAATCTGGCTACTGAGTCAGGGCTAACTCAGTGCCATTTTTCCCATGGAATTTGGAAGGGCTAAAATTTGTTTATGATTAACTAAAAAAAAACAGGAAAGAAAATTTTTAAAACAGTTTGTTTCTTTAATTAAATGTTAAAAAAGTTGTAGGTAAAGTATTATGTAGAATTCTCTTTTACATTCTTTTAGGCAAAATATAACTTTTAAAATGTTACTGTCTTAAAATGGTAAATATTTTTGTTTGTTGGTTTTCAAATATTACAAAGATTTCTTTTAGAAATGCTCCCTTAAACTGTCCTCAAGAAGGTACGGGCTATGGTAAAAGCAGCTTTTTTCAGAGAATTAGCAAGAATGGGAGAGGAATCCCTGGCTTTAGAAGGCCTGGGTTGTATGAACCTCAGTCTTACCCACTGTGGCAGAGCCAGATTTCACAGCCAGTTTTGAACTAAGGATTCTGCTCCTTCCCCAAGTCTAGAAGTGGCATTCTTGAATTATTTTTATAAAAGGGACTTAAGTGAGACAAGCTGGTTGGAAGTGGAGGCCAGGTCAGGATTTAGTTAAGTTATCTCTCAAACTGGAACCGAATTAAGTGTATGTAGTTTGAGAAGATGGGGCTGAGCCAAGGCAAAGCTAACAACTGAGTTATGTAGAAACTCAAATCTAAGAACTGAATTATATAAAGTTGTCATTATACCCTCACTACAGGACTAGCATTTTGCATATATACTTTATAATTACAATCAGAAATAGATTACGTATGGAGTCACATGAGCCATCTTTGTTCTTGTTCCCCAGTACGAAACATTCCTTCCAGTCAGACCATTGTCTTAGGCTGACATCCCTTCTTCTCTGCCTTTCCTTCAAGGCTCAGCTTGTATTCTCTCCTCCCCCTCCCAAAGCCATGTCAGACCACTTCACTAATTGTATTTAGAACAAATTTCATCAGGTAATTAGTGACTAGTAACATTAATTAATATTTATTAATATTATTGTCCTATATTATCACTTCTTTTCCTGGCTAGATACTACCCATTTGTTTATGCCTTTCCATCTGCACCTTAAATAATATTTTTGTCCTTTGTATTTGTAGCTTGTATTGCTTATACCTCCATTTGACACTTATTTATGATCTACAGCATGTGTACATTGTTTCTTACTTTCTATTGTTTTCATTGTCTTCTCAATCATATCTCCCTTTGCTGTTAACCAATTTGTATGTAGCAAAATGTCTAGTACACTTGTTGCATGTGGAAGCATGTAATACTATTTAATGCTGTGGCTTTCTAAATTGTGAAGAGAAATGGGATCAGTTGGATTCAGTTCTAGGCTCTCAGCTCTCTCCTTACCTACAACTCCAACTTTCTCTAATTAAGAGCTAAGCTTTTGTTTAAAGATTTCAGAGACTATCTTCCCCCAAATGAGGACCACTTATTAAACAGATCTACATGTATTTTTTCTTTGCTTAATCTAATTATAAATCTTGAATCCACATCTGGTGCTTCTTCACAGTTCCTAGTTTGATTTTGAATAAACTAGTAGGTTTTTAATAAATATTAAGATGCAATAAATAAGAGTATGATAATATTTATATCTTATAAATTTCATGTTCAGTTCAATTCTAAAGGATATTTAAATTAATTTTTTTAAGATTTTATTTATTTATTTTGACGGAGAGAGAGACAGTGGGAGAGGGAGAAGCAGGCTTCCTGCTGAGCAGGGAGCCCAATGCGGGGCTCGATCCCAGGACCCTGGGATCATGACCTGAGCCCAAGGCAGCCTCTTAACCGACTGAGCCACCCAGGTGCCCCTAAATTTTAAGTAAAAAATATTTCACATTTCCTTAACTTATCACAAGTGTTGAGCACATAAAATCATGCCTTAGAGAAATTCACAAACACACACACATGCACACACACACTTTGAGAGTACCAAGAATTACCCTTAATGTTAATGGCCTGAACAGATAACGTTTATTTGACATGTTGACCTGTTCACCAGTTCGATTTTGTACTTTTGAACTTTTCAAAACATTGCCTATATTTTTGGTTTCATCTTTGTTGACAGGTGGGGAACCAAAAACATCAGTCTGATCCAAATTAAAATGATACAGATTCATTACCATTTAACTTCTTTACCAAATATTTTTTTGTGTATGACCACTCTTTATCAATTCCATTAATGCATTTTCAGACACAAATGATTTAGGTTGACAAAATTCAGAGTTTTTCCTGGACATCCATGATACCGAACAGTGGCTTCCCCCACACTCGTATCAGCCACCTCCTATTCCCATACATAAATGGCAGCCAGCAATGGCTGGAAACAAAGGACTCTCTCCCAGTCCCTGAATACAGTGACATTCATTCCGAGAGAAGCAGGGGCAGCTTTTTGAAAGCCGACTTCTTCAGCTCGACAATAACACACAATGAGTTATTGACTTGTTTATATACGGAGCTCTTTTCAGTAACTAACTCTGACTCCCACAGTCTGGACAAATGATTGATTTTGTGGTTAGAAAAAGAGAAAGCTCTCGCGCTAAACTCTGTAGTGCAAACTACTTCTTCCCCATTTGTTCCCTAAATGAATAGGACCTTATTAAAATGCACTTTCCAAAAAAATACCTGCAGCTGGCCTTTATAACCATGTTTTGTATATATAAATAAGTAATTTGTCCCAGTCTTTTGTATATTAACAGACCATTGGGAAACTTGTCAATATATATGAAGGCTGATTGTCCTGTTGTTTATGCTAAAACTGTATTGCCTGTATTGATTCGCATGTAAAATATGGATCAAATAATTTATTATTAAATCAATTTACTGGTCAAAAGTTAGATTTTTGTTAGAAAGAGCTCCAGTTTTCTTGTTGGATTACATTGATTTATTAAGGACATTATATACAACACATATCATATACTTCACATTGAATCACTAGCTGTTCTGGATACAGAGTAAAGTACATGCAGAAGTATAATTCAGAGCACTGAAAGTATGGTTGGACTCTTTTGTTAGCACCTATCTGGAATATCAATATGAATTAAGTAGACAGAACACACCAGCTTGTTTGATCACTGTACCTTTTAAAAATATATTAATAATTGGGTTCTAGAGTTTATTCAGTTTTCTCCTATAAAATAGTTTTTTTCTTTTTTTTATTATTATGTTAATCACCATACATTACATCATTAGTTTTTGATGTAGTGTTCCATGATTCATCTTATTTTATCTTACAGTCATGTTAAAATTTTTTACACAATTAGTCTTTATGATTTTTATAAATATACTTTAAAATATTTGGGAGGAAGTTAAAAAAAACAAGAAGGAAAAGCCATGTATGTTACTGACACACACAAAAGGAGATCACTGCTGTTCTGTCTGTATTTCTCCAGGAGGAGATCTTGAGCCTGTTGTCCTCTCTAGGCTGTCGTAGTTGAGCTTCCTGAGCCAGCAAATGTTTGAAGAACTCCTCAAATGAAGAGCACTTTTTCTTATAGTCACAATGGGCCATACATGTTATACGGAACTATATATTACTAAACCGTGACCCTTTAGGGCTTCAGAGAAAGTATAATGCCTGCTACCTTAGCATTAGAAGTTTTATGTAAAATACATATAGTCTGTAAGGTAACGATCATTAGAAATCATTTCATTGAAACCTATGGCTTCGGGTATTCTTCGGTGGACTTTTTTCTTAATTCTAAAAAGATTGTTTGAGGTGAATGTATTCCTTTTTAATCTTGGTCCTCTTTAATCTTGGTTTCTCTAACCAGACCAATTTTGGAAGCACTTTTTATTTAGTTTTCTTTGACAGAACCATTATGTTCCTTGTTTTTCCCATTTCTGCCACTGTCCTTCACTCGTCTCTTGATGGTTCTATTCTGGTTACCATTAATATTGAATGAGAACAACTTTAACCTGATCTTGGATAGCTAATATTTATTACATATTTTTAAAACCTTAGCAACAAGGCCTGACAAAAATGGTAAATTAAATCTTCCTATGTAGCTTAGATTTTGATGTGCACAGTGAATATTTATGGGTGTTTTCTTACATTTAAAAAGAGCAAGATATAGTTAAACAAAGTGACACTCCCCTGTTTGGTAGAGATTTGGCTTTTCATAGTTATATACAAATTTTAGCCATCTTTCTGCTTATTTCTTTATTGAGGTGATAATAGGCATATAACATCATATTAGTTTCAGGTATACAACATAATGATTTGATATTTGTACATATTGTAAAATGATTACCACAGTAAGTTTAATATTCATCACCATACATTGTTACAATTATTTTGTGCATAATGAGAATTTTTAAGACTTATTCTCAACAATTTTCGCATATGCAATACAGTATTATTAACTATAGTTACCATTTTATACATTACATGCCCATGACTTATTTATTTTATAGCTGGAAACTTGTACCTTTTGACCCCCTTTACCTGTTTCATCCACCTCCCACATCCACCCCTGGCAATCACCAATTTGTTCTGTCTATGAGCTTGGTATTTTTGTATTTTGGGTTTTTTAAAAAGATTACACATATAAGCAACATCATATGGTATTTGTCTTTCTCTGACTTATTTCACTTAGGACAATACCCTTGTTTTTGACTTTTAATTTAAGTTTCTGCCCCCTTTATACATGAAAAATTAACCTCAGAAATTTTGAGCCCACTGACAAAAACTGTTTCATACATTTCAGATAAGAACAGCAAATCAAAAGCACATAGTTTTATCATAATGAAGAAACAGGATCTTTTCCTCCAAAGTGACAGGAGAGAAGAATCCTACGATTGTTATCATGACATGGGACTTGAGGGAAAGATGCTATTAGCACTGCATATTATTAATACCTCGGGTAAAAATGCATTTTTTAAATTTGACTTTTTACTTTCAATAATTTTCTCTAAATGATTGTATTAAAATCTCTCTCTTCTGGAATGTCTGGTCTGTTTCCAGAAAAGGCCCATGTCTGTATCCTTATATTTTGTTATTTTGTTAACCATTTATTTCTTAATATCTTCCTGGATTCTCTATTTGGTATGAATATGATGTTTTCCGATAATGTTGATATGTTTTGACCTCAGCTTATGTAGATTAGTACAGTGCTTCTTTAGAAGTTGAATATTAGAATGGAGGTGATTTTCCCAACTGTGGTGCTTTCAAAGGTAAAGAATTCCCACCTTTTAAAGTTACTTGGAAGCAGTTCTAAATGTCATGGCCCTGGGAGACCTCATTAGAATCTGACTTACTGCTGTGGCACCAAAGAGTTTAGTACTCTGTTTTTGTTTTGTTTGCTTTCCTTCAAGAAAGGTCTGCTCAGAATGCTTGTGCATTTGGAAATTAATGGATGAGTTTCTGAGAAACAAACAGGGTTCTAGAGGGGAGGGGGTTGGGGGGATGGGTTAGCCTGGTGATGGGTATTAAAGAGGGCACGTATTGAATGGAACACTGGGCGTTATATGCAAACAATGAATCATGGAACGTTACATCAAAAACTAATGGTATGGTGATTAACATAACATAATTAAAAAAAAAAAGAATGGATGAGTTTGGTGAATATTTCCCAGTCCCCTCTCCTTCACACCATCTCTTCCTGAGATGAGAATCTCCCCATAAAGAAATAGCCATAGAGACTTGATACAACTATGTTGTACCACAGTTTACACACAGGCAGATGTTTGACCTTTTATAATATTATGTTTTTTATATTACTTCACATGAAAAAAATATTCTTTGGGGAGAGTGATCCTAGGAATAGTTTCACATGATGATTTTTTTCCAGTTTAATTGAGATGTAGTTGATATACAGCACTGTGTAAGTTTAAGGTGTACAGCATAATGACTTTCATATATATTGTGAAATGATACCACAAGAAGTTTAGTTAACATTCATCATCTCATATATAAGTAAAAAAAAGAAGAAGAAGAAAAACAATGTGTTTTTCCTTGTGGTGAGAACTCTTAGAATCTACTCTTTTAACAACTTTCAAGGGGCGCCTGGGTGGCTCAGTCGTTAAGCGTCTGCCTTCGGCTCGGGTCGTGAACCCAGGGTCCTGGTGATTGAACCCCGCATTGGGCTCCCTGCTCTGTGGGAAGCCTGCGTCTCCCTCTCCCACTCCCCCTGCTTGTGTTCCTTCTCTTGCTGTGTCTCTCTCTGTCAAATAGATAAATAAAATCTTCAAAAAAAAAAAAAAAGCTTTCAAATATACCATTCAGCATTGTTAACTATAGACATCATGTTGTACATCTTGTGATGATTATTTTTTAGCAAACTTGTTTTTAGTGGTTCTCAATCCAGGACAGGGATCATCAAATGTTGGCTGCTGTTCAAAACCAGCCTGCTGCTTGTTTGTTTTTTGTTTTATTGAGGCCTAGCTATGCTCATTTATTTATGTATTGTCCATTTCACGCTGCAAGGGCAGAGCTGAGTAATACAACAGAGACTGTATGCCCTCCCCACAACCCTAAAATATTTACTCTCTGGCCCTTTACAGAAATGTTTGTCAACTCCTTATCTAGTGATTGTCAGAATCCTAAAGATTCCTGGCCTTCCCTCTCTACCAAGACAGAATCTCTGATACACTGAGCTGTATCACATATCAGTCGATGAAGAGTTTGCAGTTTTAATGCTATTCTTATAGCATATATACATAATTAGATTGAGGAAACCATATTTTTGACTCCTACCCCCATTTTATCTCAAGTATAAGAATGGGTCTTCAGGCAGGATATGGATTAAAGATTCATGTTAACTGAAGCATGATTTGCCAGGCATATAATGGAGAAACATGATTTAAAACAACAACAACAGGGACCCCTGGGTGGCACAGTCAGTTGGGCTTCCCACTCTTGGTTTTGGCTTGATCTCAGGGTCCTGGGATCGAGCCCTGTGTCGGGTTCTGCACTCAGTGCAGAGTTTGCTTGAGATTCTCTCTCCCTCTCCCTCTGCCCCTCCCGCTCGTGCTGTCTTTCTTTAGAATACATAAATAAATCTTTAAAAAAAAGCAACAACAACATTAACAAAACAAACAAAACAAAATAAAAAACATGGTCATTATTTATTCTTTATCCTCCATAAGGAGATACAATATGGCAAGTCCATTGCTTAAGAATTATTAAATATTCCAGTTCAGAAAGTTTTGTATTAGGCTGTTTCTTTCTTTCTTTCTATTAATACCAGCTGAGTCAATGTTATTTTGTGAGTTCAGCATTTTTTCCTTCATTGAAAATAGCATTTTGTTTCGATGGGGATTATTTAAAAAGAAACACAGAATGGACCACATTCACCTTTTTATAACGTATGAGTTAGGAGCAGTAGTAGAAGACCTTTCCCTGGCTTTGTAAATGAATCAGGTTGCAGGTAACTGTTCAGGTGTTTAAGATACATTATTTCTTGTCTTGAAATATTATAAATCATTTTGGACCACTCTAAGGTATTTGAATTGACATTTGCTTTTGGTTTATGTTCTTGAATTTTTATCCTGATGTAACAGCAGCCAATTTATTCCCTACTGGCAATGAGAAATTTTAATAGGAAATATCAGCCTAATTAAAAAAATTGCTATGCTCATTTTGATAAAATACTTTAAAAAAGTAATCATTGGTGTCAAATGTCTGCAGTTAAGGACCCTCTCCCAAATCATATTTTAGTAAACTTATAAACAATAAAAGTGGAAGTGAAAATTTTGATGTTAAATGTTTTAAATATAAAAGTGTACTTTCAACTTAATCTAAATGGGGTTCATTTTCATATAAATGTGGGCCAAATTAATTTTAAATCACCATCCATGATTATGCTAAATTGGTTGTTTGAAGAAATGTTGTAGTTAGGTGTCAGTAGGTACCTATTTTCATGCAATTTATTTATTTTTTCTAGTTGAGCCTGGCTGTAGATGAACAGAAAGAAAAAATTACTGAAAAAGTAATTCTTTCAATGACAGCAAAGGAACACCGTAAGGCACAAGAAGAAGTAAGAAACTTACTTTTTAAACTGTATTATAAAATTACAATGAGTGCTAATTTAAAAATTAAAACATATTTTACTTGGGTCTGATAGTGAACCAACTATAGTTATCTGATAGCAACAAAATGAAAAAAATTGGTCAAAACTGGAATCATTTTATTGATATAGGCAGCTTGAAAAATAATTATATGCTTGAAAGAATAAATACTGTAATTTTCTGAAAAATATTTCTGAAAATTTTCTCATAAATTTCCTAAATTAGGAAATTATTACATGCAAGTTGAATCTGGAAATTATAAAGCATGCTAACATAGGAAAAACATTAAAATCTTATTGAACTTTGACTAAGTACTAAATCTTATTTTTATTTTCTGACTTCTAGAAATGAAATTATTGTTTTGAATGTTAGAAATGCTAACAATGTTATCTCTTATCAAGGAAAAACTATAGTTTACAAATGTCAAGCTTAAGTGAGCTAATCATAAGCTTTTGTAGGCAATATTGTAATGAAGAACTATTAGAGCAAAGCTTCTTCTCTCCAACGCTCGTGCTGTGAAGTTGACAGCATATTCCATAAATGAAATAATAATACAAAATTGGTGTTAGACAAAAGGAAAAAATGATTTTTATGTAGATTCCTGGTTGCAAAAGCATTTAATCTTTCTGAGGAGAGATCATGAATTTGCTAATTCCCATGTACCATTGTCAGTAAATAAAATCATAATCAACTTAAAGAATAAGGTAATGTGAATATTTAAAATTTAAACTTTCATGTAATTCTCTTTTGACACTTTGGCAAGGAAATCTACCCAAGCTTTGGGACTTTAATATTTTCTTATCATTATGATTGCATCTGTTCTGCTAACTATGTATGATATGAAAAATGAACAGGTACAATACATCAAATCTTCCTGAGTGAATTCAAATCTTTGAATTAGATACTATATTAATCTTTGGGACTTATATATGTCCAATTTTAAAGACTATATTATTAACATAGATTGGTAATCTCAGTAGAGAATATTTCCTAAGAAAAATTCAGTTGAAGAGGTTCTTAAGATGAGGCAAATAACAATTGTATAATTTAAATTACAGTCTTACTCATTCCACTTAATATTAACAAGTTAAAAGACTAGATTTTCAGTTATAAATTAAAAAAATATTGTCCTCTACTCATTTGGAAAATGTTTTTTTATCACAGTTGGAGAGTTTTATTACATTTTCACCATAATTTAAATTGAATCTATCATGAATCCTGATATGGTAAACTTTAAAGAAATACAAATAATTATCTCTAGTTTAATTAGTATCATTAAAGTTACACCTATAATAACAAATTATTATTAGAGATTAAATCTAAAATAATCTAAAAGAATGAACAGATTTGCTATTTTCTGGCTTTTAAATATAATTATTTATGCAAAACTGCAATTTCAGCGGAAATGAAAACTTGAAGTGGCCCAGGGAAATTATCATTATGCTAAATATATCATTTTAAATGCCACCTTGTTAGCAACACTGGAAATGAAAATTGTCTTTTCTAGAATATCCTGCGGTATTTATGCTTATTTGGTCTTTCTTCTTTATTATCATCTTAATGTTTATTTAATATCCATATACTTCAGCGTTCTTCTCGTACAGTGCTTTATTTGGTCACATATTTGCTTGATCAGTTATGTCTCAAATATCTTTTGTTTGCTTAAAAAAATCAAATACATGATAAAGGGAATATGTGTTGTGTGTTTTATGTGTGTGTGTGTATGTGTGTGTATGTTTGTAATAGTTTCTAAATATATTTCTATACACTATGGGAATAATTTCTATGTCATTACTTTGAAAGTGATTATATTAATCTTGATGTGTAATTTTCAGTGTTTGGTTAGAAAAAGTAAGTGACATCAAGTTTTGGCCCTAATTCATATACAGAAATATGAAATCATGATGGTGAAGAGAAATGAAAAATCGGGGGGGGGAGTTACTTCAAAATTTATTTTGCCTACAGTTTATTTTTTAGAAAAATATTGTATTTCTGGATATATTTCAAAATCAAAACTAAATATCACAAAATCTGAGATTTGGATTTAGAATTCTGCTGTCTGTGGTTTTATCTTAAGACCATAGACATGATCTTGTTTTATTTCATGTAATTTTTCCACATGAAAACTGGGAAGAGTAATAATGTATGTTTCATAAGACTACTTTGAGGTGTGTTATATGTTAAACTACTTTTTGGGAAATGGTTTATTAGAAACATGCATATAATTTGTTATTGTTGGTTTAAAAGTTATTCCAGGTTCTCTGGAAAGTAAACACCAAGATAGTATTAAATGTGTATGTATTTTATTAGAAGAAATGCCTATGAGAAAAAATGGAGAGAGCTCTGGGTAAGGAAGGCCAGGAGACCTGTCAGACTGAAATGCAGGCTTGAACACAAGTGAAGGAGAGAGGAAAGAAGACTGGAGGGAAGCCTCTTAGACAGCGGTGCAGTCTAAGGAAGGTTTGGTGAAGCTGGTGGTGTATTCTTGACCTAAAGCTGTCCTTCAGAGGAGTCCTGTGACTCTCTTGAGTTAGATTTACCTCAGTATCCTCAGCCATTGATACTAACCTGGTGATGGATTTCAGAGCACAATAGTTGGGACCTTTGGTTCATTATGCTCCTGTGGTTAGAAGCCTGTGAAGCACATTCTCATTGCTTCCTCAAAATGTATATTTACATTATTTTTGTTGCCATCAACATAACCTATTGCCAGGTGAATTATAAAGACATTCAAAATGTTTCTATTTTACGTGAAGGGGATTAAGAGTAACTTAGGTTGATGAACACGGAGTACTATATGGAACAGTTGAATCACTATAGTGTACACTGAAACTTATATAATACTGTATGTAAACTACACTAGAGTTAAAAATTTTTTAAAGTCTCTCTTTTAATCGCCCCTTCCTCCATGAATGTTAGACTCTTGAATAGGCTTAAAGATGGCACATGTAATGGACCTCTGGCTGGAAGCAAGATAAATCTCCTTCCAAGATATTTTCCATCTCAGAAGAGTTCTAGAAACTATTCAAAAGTTGGGGGTATTTGAAATGGTGTGAATAAGAGGTGGTACACACTTCAAGTTCCCTGGTAGTTACATTGCAACCCATCTTTCTAAATCAAGAGATACTTAACTTTGCTCATAGATTCTCATATCTTTTCTAATCTTTGTTCATCAAATCTGGGTCACATTTCTTTTTAACCTGAAAAACACTGTACCCTTGGGCCTGAAATAAGAGATTTTAGGAAATTTAAAATACCCATTTTCATCTCCCTGCCCCCTTTCTGGTTCTTTTTAATTATGTCATAAATTAGAAAGATTTTGGTCTTAAGTTTAAGCACTGACCTGGCTTTGAGACCATTCCCTGTGTGTTGCATGCCAAGATGACATTCCTAGGATAGAGGCTGCTGCCTTTTGTGCTGATTTCAAGTGATAATTTAGCGCAAAGTTCTCTGGAATCCTCCTTACTCATATAGATGGACTCAAGGCCACACAGCAATCAGTCCAAGAGCTGAACTCATCATTAGAAAAACCAGGAGCTCCTCAAAGCATCATTCTAATAGCCAAATTACAATATACAGAATGTGTAATTCAGAACATACAACTTCAATGTGCATACATTATAGAATGATTAGAAACAGAATATTTTATGCTAAATCTAAATTATCTTAAGAATTTAATAAATTCAAGGGTTACATGAATATGTCATAAAAACATGACCAAACTACCCAATGTAGGTTTTTAAGCAAAAAAACCTCTATGTTTATAGACAGGTGTGCATTTGCATTCTTTCAGAAGTTGGGTCTTTTTCCTCATCGAATACTCATTTTTTTTTTTTTTTGCTACCTTCTGCTCATTTGTCACTCTCCCAAATTCTGTACAAGTGTCACTTCCGTGCTGCATTTCCACGGAGAATGAAGAGTAGAATGTGTAGGCTTTCTGCTGCACAATGAGATGGTGCATTTTTTCAACATATGCATACGTAAGCCTTCTTTTGTGAATGGGACTGATAGGGTCAGATAATGTTTAAAGGGAAAGGCTTTATGTCTCTCAGGCCTCTATGTTTCCACATGGATGCTCCCACACACACGTAGATTGAATTATGAACAGACCCATTAATGCTGGGATCACAAAAGGTCAAGTTTTGTCTTCTTTTACCCCTATTCACATTGCCTTTGTAGAGAGAGGGAGAAAAAAAAAGGATTTGCAGGAAAAAAAGATTCATGATGAGGAATTTTAAAGAGCATTTTTCCCCTTCTAGCAACATCTGTGATTTGAAAAAAAAATCATATTATGTAAAATAATTCAGGATTATTGTATTACCTACCCAATTTTGGTATATGAGTTATTTCATGTGTAGGGTTATCTTTAAGGGTAATATGTTATCATAATAACTGAGAACAAAATGTAGCACTTTGGGGATAAAAGACCTTATGAATATGTAAAGTAACAAAGTTTTAGTAAGATTGGATAGAAATTTTACCAAAATGTCAATGGCAGGATTCTTGATATATTTTTCCCTATTTTGAGATACGTTAATTTTTGCTAGGGCATCTTTTTTGATAGTTTTAACTTATTTTTTTAAAAAAACAGGTGATAATTGATGTAATTATACTTCACATACATTAACAGATAATCATGGGACAATTGAAAATAGCAAAAATGATAGAGAAATTTGTTGAAGCAACAAAGGATTCATAGCAAATGAAACTTTTAAGGCTTTAACCAATAACCCTTTAGAATGCAAATGACATCATCAATTGTATGGTTGGTTGATTTCTGATGTCACATGAAATCCCCTATCTGTGAAAGGCTATGGATTGTGACAGTAAAACCAGTCATGTATAAAAATGTTCTCAAATCAAAGCCTGAAATTCCTCCTATTTTTTGGGGGGGGCACTCACTATAGTATAAAGTACAGTACATAAAATTGAAGAGAACAGTATTATTGACTAGCATAATACATTGCATTATATTTAGTATACTTTAAAGACTACATAAAATTAAATCTTTTTGAATCATATGATGCTGGGGCTGAGGATAAGTTCAGAGAGGATCAGTGCTTTGCAGAAATGGCATCTGGAATCTATGTAAGGCCTTTGGTTCTTGGGTTTAAATTTTTTCAACTATAAGAGCAAGCCACTTGGCCTGTTTTGGTGTCCAGTTTTGGTATGATAGATATTATTAGCCATCATTTCTGAGGGTAATACTGGAGGGTAGTGGTGAAGATTAGTCTGGAAACATTGGCTAATTTAATACTGGGTCATTTATTATTTCTGTATTTTAAATGTTACAACTTTATAGTGGGATTAACAGTACTATGGAAAGCACAGAAATTCATTCCAGAAAGTAGAAAAGGTTTTTAATCTTGAATACCAAGCTGAGGAAGTGGGGAGCAACTGGAGGGTTCAATATGCTATTGGAGGTAGATTAATTCAGTGGAGATGGCAGGATAAATTTGAGGTGGAGAGACCAGGGACAGAGAGACCACTCTGTAGGGGTTGAGGGGGGAAAGGATGAGGAGATGAGGGTTTGGACCAGAGTATTACTTATAAGAAAAGGAAGGAAGGAGAAGAAATATATGAATTTGGAAGAAGGGTTGGCAAACTACAGTGGTAGGGCCCAATTCAGTCTATCAATTATTTTTCTAAATAAAGTGTTATTGGAATACAGTCACATCCACTTGTTACATGTTATCTGTGGCTGCTTTCAAAATACAACTGCAGGGTCAAACAGTTTTGATGGAAACCTTATGGCCCACAAAACTGAAAATATTATCTGTCCCTTTTAGAGAAAAAGTTTGCCAGTCCTTTATTTAAGAGAAGGATTTTTTAAAGGGACTAGATGAGAGGTACCTGGGTGGCTTAGTCAGTTAAGCATCCAACTCTTGATTTCAGGTCAGGTCTTGATCTCAGTGTCCTGATTTCAACCCTCACATTGGGCTCCATGCCAGGTGTGGAGCCTACTTAAAAAAAAAATTAAAGGGGCACCTGGGTGGCTCAGTCGTTAAGCATCTGCCTTCGGCTCAGGTCATGGTCCCAGGGTCCTGGGATCGAGCCCCACATCGGGCTCCCTGCTCCGTGGGAAGCCTGCTTCTCTATCTCCCAGTCTCCCTGCTTGTGTTCCCTCTCTCGCTGTCTCTGTCAAATAAATAAAATCTTTAAAAAAAATTTAAAAAAAGAAATTAAAAAAATAATAAAGGGACTAGATGATTGATGACATAGGGACAAATAAAAGAGATATGGAAGACCAAAGAAAAATAGGAATCATTTAAATTAGCTTGTTTACATGCACATAATGCTTCTAAAGTTCTTCCGGAAAGTTAAATGTCATTAAAGTGTGTGTGTGTGTGTGTGTGTGTGTGTGTATGTATATAACAATATATAATCTTGATAACAATATATAACAATATATGATCTTGAACTAACTAGGTAGAGTAGAAAAATTAATATTCAAGTTATATGGATAATAGTACAAATTTGCTTTCATTGACTTCTCCGAATCATCTGTAGAAGGGATAGAAATCATGGATATAACATTAGAGTTGAGTACAGACTGGGACAAATACCATATTTTCAGTTGAAAGAGAGAAAAAGAGGTTGAGATATCTGTACAAGGGATACTCTTGGAGAAAGTTTTCCCATTTTTTACTATGGACATTGAAGTGAGACAGAGAATCTAGGTAGCAAATAATTTCAAATTTTTATCTGCATTATGTGAAGTAAGGGTAGGGATAGGAAAGATAGACTGAGAAAAACAATTAAAACTTGATATGCAGAAAACACCTAGATTTAAACAAGAAAATACTATACTAATATAATATGCATTAGGCACATTACTATAGGTTAGACATTGTGTCGTTCATTCTGTAATCTTATTTAATTCTTAATAGGATAAGGCTGTTATTATTCTTTATTACAGATAGGGTTTTATTACCTGCTCACAGTCTATAAGTCAGGAAATGGAAGAGCCATGATTTTTAACCCATTATTTCAAAAGCCCGTGCTCTATTCAAAGTCATTCATAATTCTAGATGGGTCTAATTTAATCACTTTAAGGGGCCATAAATAAAGTGAATTTCTGCTTTTAATCTCTTTTGGTCACTACCATATATCAACTAGTGTTTGTGTAAGAATCCAATCTATTAGAGAAAACAAATTTACATAACACAGTGTTCATATAATAAAATTAAATATTGCCAGTCCTTTATTTAAGAGAAGGATTTTTTAAAGGGACTAGTATATATTGGATTAATTGGAGTCTTAGGAAGATTTTATTCTGTTAAGCAGTTTAGAAGTCCTTTGCAAACTTTTCAGGTGCCTGTTTCTTCTCATACCCAGAGACATTTTTTATTTAGCATTTGTAAATGGCTATCTATTCCATATGAGTGAAGTGAAAAGGTTATAAATTTTCCCATAAATAAAATTAGCTGATGAAGGATGTGTATCTCTTCTGTTCTCTTTACTTGAAGATAGCTCTATACTCAGATTCTTATACTGAAGTCATTTTCCCTCCCATCAAACTAGGTACTCAAAGATCTAATAAGTGTGACATCAACAATTACTTCTTGCTAACAACCCTTGTAATTTAACCCCTTCAGGTGAGCAGGCTGATTGATGAATTGCAGACAGCTATCAAAAGTAACAGAGGTCATCTCTCTAAACTTGGCCCCCAATTACAGGCTGAGCAGGAGCAATTCTCCTCTTATGTCTACCAACACATTAAAAGCCTTCCAGCAAACACTCTTATCCCAGGAGACCTGCAGCTCAAGGTGGGTGTCATTATGCAACTCTCACTGCATTCAGCTAGAGATGAAAACACTCTGCTCCATTTGAAGACCCTTCGAACAATGCCACTCAGCTTGAATTTCTTTTAATGTTGTCTTTCTCAAACCGGAGTTTGGCTTACGAGTGCTAATACTACCATTCAGGGAGTATGCTTTAAAAGAAGAAACCTAGAGGCATTTGAAAAGTGGATTTATAACTTTAACTGTTTTCAACTCAGAAAAGTAATTTTAATGAAGATATTTAATCATGTGAACATTGCATACTTTTCCAAGAAACATATATTTTTAACAGGAGTCACCCTGTATTTCAGTTTAAAAAAAATAACTTATTTAGAGCAATGGGAAAGGCTTTAATAATTGACAGACAGTGGCAATAGGAATTAGAGGTGAAAGGCCAGGTGACTGACTGATGTTCAAACTACATTTCCAAGGAAAAGGATCTGTATTGGATAAGTGTGACACATATCTGAGTTCACTTGGTAAAATCAATACTTAAGAATATACTGGGAAAAAAGGTGAATTGGTTATTTGTCGGGACAAGATGGCTAAATGTCCTAGGCTACTTTTGCTGTTGCATCTCTGGAAGAGAAAAAAAGTAACTCGTACTTGGTTAAAGTGGATTAAGTACTGAAAGTTATGGAATTTAAATACTTTTGTTTATCATAATCGAGTATCCATGTTAAGTCTGTCAAGTTAATGTTGTTCTAATAATTTCACATCCCACATTTCAAGAGAAAAAAAATTGAATTACTGAATGGATGGCCTTTTTTCCATTGAAGGAACAAACTATTACAACTCATCATTCTCTTTTGATTATATATATATATATATATATTTTTATTATTTATTTGACAGAGAGAGACACAGCGAGAGAGGGAACACGAGCAGGGGGGGTGGGAGAGGGAGAAGCAGGCTTCCCGCGGAGCAGGGAGCCCGACGCGGGGCTCGATCCCAGGACCCTGGGACCATGACCTGAGCCGAAGGCGGACGCTTAACGCCGGAGCCACCCAGGCGCCCCTTTTGATTATATTTTTGAATGTGATAACATTCAAAGTAATTATATTTTGATCAGTCTTTATTTCTATAATTCTTCTTTCTTAATACTCAGTTTTAGTCTACAAATATAAACTTTATATTGTAATTATGAACATCATATTTTCTATCTATAATTCTTTAAAATGACATTCCCATGTTTGCATTTGGAATGAGAATACTACCATGCAAAAATTGACCTTTGGGGAAATGCAATTCCACAATAAACATGATAATTTATTTTCCATAGTCTGCTAGTCAGCCAAAGGTTTAGGAAGTGATGTTCAAGACATCAAGGTAAAGGACTCCGATCATCCAGTAGCATTTTTCTTTTCCGGATTTCTGACTTGGTTACAGATCTATTCCAACATTTTGCAAAGTACTTGCTATTGATTAAGAGAGGATCTAGGTGAGGGAGCATGTTTGGCCTAATACCATTTATCCCCATTCATTTGTATCAGCAACCATCATATGTCCTAGAAAAAAGAAAAGTTTTTTTTTCTCACAAGTTTGTTGCATATTTCTGAATAATTTTTATCACATGTTCACATTAGCACATAGGCTTGATAGCAAATATTTAACTTTAGGATTTGAGTTACTACTCTCATATATTTCTTTTTTAATATGCTTCATAATTCTTTCCATACTAGCAAACAGAAGAGGAAATGTATATATGCAAAGAAGCCATCTTCTTGTGTTTGTTTAGACTCCCTTTACTGTCCAATATAGTAGCCCCTAGCCACATGTAACTATTTAAATTTAAATTAATAAAAACTAATTAAAATGAAAAATCCAGTGCCTCCCTTCATATGCCCATGACTTTCCTGGTTGTAGCACTGAAAACCTCACATCCAGGAAATCTCTCAGTCCCAGGCAAAACAGAATGGTTAGTCAGCCTATTCTTATCTGAGTTCCCTCTCCCTACTCCCAAGACATCCTCTGTCTTTATCGTTCTTTTCCCATGAAGTACTCAGCTTCTCTCCTTTCTCCCCAGTTTTCCCCTTTGGAACATCCAATTTCTCTCAGGCAATAAATTCCTTTTCTCATACTCCAAGAAATCTGGACATCAGCCCCATCAGGCTTTAGCATAGACCACTGGTCTTTCAATCCTGGCTGCCATATTAGAATCACCTGGAGACCTTTTAAAAAACAACTGAGGGTTGCTGGAGTGGAGGGGGGGGGGGGGAGATTGGGGGTGGCTGGGTGATGGACATTGGGGAGGGTATGTGTTGTAATGAGCATTGGGTATTATATAAGACTGATGAATCATACACCTGTATACCCCTGAAACAAATAATACATTATATGTTAATAAAAAAGAAATCAAGTGTTTGAAAAAACAAAAAGCAGAAAAAACAAAAAAAATCAGTGCCCCCACTTCCAGAGGTGGTTTTTTTTTTTTCTCCTTTCCTTTTTTAAAAGATTTATTTATTTTTATTTTAGAGAGATAGTAGAGAGAGAGCATGCAAGCAGGGGTAGGGGAAGGGTATAGGGAGAGGGAGAGAGAGAATCTCAAGCAGATTTCCTGCTGAATGCAGAGCCAATGTAGGACTCGATCTCACGACCCTGAGATCATGACCTGAGCCTAACGCTCAACCAACTGAGCCACCCAGGCATCCCCAGAGGTTTTGATTTAATGAATTTGATAAGCTGAATCTTGCTTCTACTGGTTGAGACTGCTGATTGTTAAACTTTCAGGAATTTCGTAAGCCAGTTGTTAAATACAGCCATAATTAAAAATTATATAAACTTAAAATTAAGTAGGTCACATTAAAATGAAAGGTAATAGTCTTCACTTCCTAATTATTTTATCACATTTTACTGTTACCTATTCTCCTTGGAGTTATTTATGCCTATCATGTTTGTTTCATAGAAACACTATATGATGGTGTGCTACTGTGCATCTCTTCCAAAGTTTGTATTCAGTGATGGCTTGTAGTAACTTGAACTTGTTGGGAATACATGTTTGGACTGATGGAAAAGAAACTTGAGATCTGTAATCTGAAATAGCCAGATAGTAGTGATAAAAACGGATTAGCAAAGTGTATCGCAAATATTCAGAATTGCAAATCTTAGAATTGAGAGCTTTTTCTGTACTTCCTCCTCGGTGGGGGAGAACTTGCTAATTCCAGCTGAAGAGATACTGAGCAAAGGCCATAGCATGCCATCGTTTGTTAATTCCAGAATCAGTTTGTATCTGTTGTCTGGCCAAACTCTAGTTTCCCATGGGGTGTGGGTGAGCTGCCCTTCCTTGGAGCACCATCTCCAACACAGTTGCCTCTGACTTACTGTGGCCAAGACCATATCTCTTCTGGTTATGAACAACTTTATCCCACCTTACGGCATGTCCTATGTAGAATATTAGATGATATATCAATAAAATATGTTTTCTATTTATAACTCAAAGGCACGGCTCTAGTAAAACTTATTTTTCCCTTTTCTATCCATTTTGATCTTAGAAAAGTGCCTGATTAATAAAATAAATTGGGATGATCATCTTTCTAATTATCTGTTTGATGATATTGATATTGATATTCACTGTTGAATATGTATGTATATGTATATTACACATCTATGTTTATATACATATGCACATATGTGTGTGTATATATATATACATATATATGCACACACACATATCCACGGCTCAGCTTTAAGAACCAAAATAATTGATGGTGTTGTCATCATCTTCTAGAGCAGTGGCTATCAATTATGGGCTGAAGGCCAGGTATGATTCAAAATCATGGTTGTCTTCACCTCTTCACTGAGGTTCTCATCCTCATTGTATCTTTCATTGATAACTTAGAAATAGGAGTTTTTGGTTAGGCAACCAGTAGGTCTCAAAAGGACATACTCTGTATTCCATATTGCCTCAGTCCCATTTGTGCAATTACATGGCATGATACAGTACTGAGTTTAAATGGACATGTAAAACAAAAGGACTGAGGACAACCTAAATGTCCATCCCTGGAATGGGAAAATTCCCTGTAAAAAAATTGAAAACATTACATCATTAGGGGAATTTTAAGAAAAAGTTATGTCACTCATAATCACGTTATTTGTTATATGACCATTCTCACTTTTGCATATCATTTCCATGTGCATTCATTTGCCCTATGTAGTCATAACCACAGTGTGCATTTTTTTTTTTTTTTTGTATTCTGGTACACTCTCTTGCCTTCACATCATAGGACCTTTTAGGTTGATGAAATCTTATTGTTTTTAGCTTTAGTAGTCACACTCAGTGTGCACCATAATTTATGACGTCCTTCAGGTTTTTGGAGTTATTGCTTACTAGTCCAAACTTTCACTTACCTTACATCCTCTGTCAATACTACCCCCCACCCCCAGCCACTTTGAGAACATCTGCTATAGCCATGGCTCAATGACTTCTGCTTTTCCAGTCCTGTTCTTTCTTGCAACTCCCTCTCTTCGTCCCCATGGAGATGCTGTCAGAAATGTTAGCGTTTCCCTGGGAAAGCAGGACAGAAAGGACTGATCGGAAAGGGTATTAGCAAAGCTTTAAGGGATGGTGGGTGGAAAAACTAGAAGGAAGTTGGGTGATTGTGACAGAGAACTGATGAGCAAGAATGTGCGATGTATGAGTGGGTGGGAGACAGCACAGGGGAAACGAGGGGAAGATGGGTACAGGGAAGTCTTTTCACTAGAATTAGTGCTTTTCACACACAATTGGTCAATAATGCTCTGTGGGTTGCCTTCCATTTGCTGTCAGTGGAGGCAGATCCAGTTTCTGTGAGGTCTAGAGCTTATGTAATTTGCGGGGAGAGGAACCTATTTAAAATTAGGCCTGAAAGTGGATATTTATTTAGATTGAGAAAGTAAATCACAACAAATTAATGGAGGATTGGAGATTTAGACCCTTTATTTTGAGACTTTTTTTTAGTTTTTCTCAGAAATACTTACATGGAAATACTCCTTAATTGCTAGCCAGC